CTATATTGTACAACTAGTGGGTCTTGTGACACTAATGAAAAGCAAAAGAGGTCCAACAAATCTCAAATCTGCTGACCCTGCAATAATTAATCCAATTTGTATATATATTTTTTTGTCCTTCTCCTTTCCTCTTCTTATATAAATTTGGTAAGTTCAGCCACACCTAGAAGATCCAGTATTCCACAGAAATATTGAGCGTTCAGTCCATGCAATCCCCTCGTAAGATATATTTTGAAGCACAAGAGAGGGGATATGAAGCTCTTCTGTTCAAAACACTAATTCATCTTTTTGCAGGCTCACACAATTGCTCCTGGTGTCTATGCACTTTGCTGGTTGGGGGGAAGGGGAGTGAAATCTATCCATATGTATTCTCTAGAACTGTGTAGCAGAATGGGGAAGAATCTGGTATTTTTAGCAAGTTTGTCAGTTATTATTAGGTTAGATGAATTTCACTGTAGGCAACATTGGTACTAAATAGCCAGTAACTTTCTCCAATTACTTCTAGTGAACTACATTCGAAAGCATGCAAAACATGACTCATAATCATAAGGTGAATATTAAATTGATTAAAATGCATGCAATGCATTATTTTAAAGCAGCTCTCAAGGAAAACCGGAGGAAATATAATGAGGATAAGAAGAACGTACCAAAGTACTCTCAGTATTCATGGGAAAAACGTGGATTAGTTATCCCAATATTTTAAAAATTAAATAAATCAAATACTGCTCTGTCCCAATTATTGGAATGTAACTGGATCACCAATTAGCATTGTTTGTTTAAACCCCAGGATCAGTCTTCATTAACAAAGAGAACTCCTACATCCACAGGTCATTCTAGGCAAAGTAATTTTTAATAAGCATTAGGAAAGGAGCTAGCAAATCCAGTTGCCAGCTGTGACAAAAATAGCATGGATCTTGACAAGGCTTGTGGGGAGGAGGGGAGACAGAAAAAAATAGCAGCTGGCTTGCAAGAATTCAAGTTTCAAAGAAGTCAAAGCATCTTTAAAATATATTGGGGTGGGGGAAAACAAAAACAATGCAGTAAGACCTAGCACGCCCAATTAGTAGGCAGTGCTGAGTGGATGTGTAAGCAGGGCGTATGTAAGTGGGGAAGATGGAATAGAAGGAAGAATCCTTCAAGAAGGCACACCTGGCTCCGCCAATGACTATGATGACCGCTGATGACTGCAGCAACTGTAATGACCACTGTGAAGAACGAAGAGCCGGTGAGTAGACCGGCTCTTTGAACCTCTCTGGACAAGGAGAGAATGGGAGATCGCCCATGAGTGCTCCAGAGAGTTGCTCCTCATGAGGAGACCACAAGACAGAGGTCTCCAGCAGGTTTTGAGCACCAGAAGACTACGGAATAACCATCTTGCTCAAACCACTGTCAGCGCCTTTAAAAGGACACTAAGTTAACATACTTCCTTTTCTAATCACATTCAGAAATTGCTTATTAACTACTTTTCAGCTATTAGAAACTATTAGGTAAGTCTGCCTTTAATCCTTAATGAAAGAAAATTTTAACTACAAGCTTAAGAACTTTAAAAAAATTGAAATAAACAGCAAAAAGCTAATTAAGACTTTGATTTTAGAAAGCTATAAACGGATTAAGGGTCCAGAAACATTTGAAATAAGACTTTGGAATTAATTATAAAGAGTCCTTCCCATGGGAAAGTTATTTGTTTCAAACATAAAAGAGATAAAATTTCAAAAATTGGACACTAGAGGGAACTAAAGATTTTAATTAAAGGAGAATACATAAACCTGATTAATAGCTGCAAAATGATGCAAAATATTCTAACACTGGAAATACTGAAGAATACCTTTGAAAAATGGAATCAGAAGTTAATATCAACAATGTCAATAGCGATGTTTGCTTCTATGGATAGACTATGTCCAAAAGATGTTTTGGAAGAAATGGCAAAAGAGGAACAAGACAGAGATGGTATTGAAACTGGGTCTACAAATGACAGCCTACAAGAATGACATGGGAAAAGATGTCTCATTGGACATACAAAAGAAATTAGCTGATGCTTTAAAAATCAAAAGGGAATTACAAATAATAAACCAAGAGAGTGACCTAGATAATTCTTGTATATTGGAGTTACAAAAGATGTTTGTTAAAGCTTGGATGTATCTTGTGAGAAGGGTTAAAAAAGAAATGCAAAGAAATCAAGTTCTACGATATTATTTGAATAGATTAAAGATTAAGATTGTTAGAAGTAAAAGGAACATAAAGTTGGTTTATTTGATCAAGGTTAAAATGGATATGTTATTTCTGGCAACCCTTAATGGACTTTTGCTGACACTGGGACTGAAATGACGATGCTTTATGGATTGGTTTATAGATAAGAGATGGGACATGGGATGAAGAGATCATTGGTTGTAAATTAAGAGGAGGTGAAAAGTTACTAAAATTGTTTATACTTGTTGTGATGAAGGTTGGAAGTCACTTCTTTATATATTCCTTTTCTTTTTATTATTATACATGGGATGAAGAGATCATTGGTTGTAAATTAAGAGGAGGTGAAAAGTTACTAAAATTGTTTATACTTGTTGTGATGAAGGTTGGAAGTCACTTCTTTATATATTCCTTTTCTTTTTATTATTATATTCTTTTCTTTTTCTTCTTTCTATTCTTTACATTTTTTTCTTTTGCATTTTTTATTCTTTCTATTCTTCTTTCTTTTAGTTTGTATTACTTTTTACTATTGCAATTATAATCTTTAATAAACTTATTTTTAAAAAAAGAAAGGTAGTCCTTCAGTCCATAATATAGAATATCTACTTGCAGTATATGAAAACAGAAAGGAATACCATTTCTCTACATGAAAAAAAAAATAGTGGTGAACATGTTGTCCTATAGATATAGTTGAACTCCCTTACATTGCCAATGAAAGCTAGAATAAGTCTAAACAATAGCTGTGTTAAAACAACATGCTTAACTAGGTCAGGTCAGGTCCTTGCATTTGCACAACATGCTAAGCTGGGTTAGTGTTAAGGTTGGCTAGATATTTTAGTCCCTCAGTGTGTTATCTGATCTCACCCCCTTAACCTAGTTTAGGATTCAATATATTATGCAAACCTAGAAAATGGGTCATTGCAAAGTTTGTTTGGTATGGGTGTGGGTATCTTAATATGTTCTATGGAACCAGGATATTGCACAAATGAGAAAGATGGGTTAGTTTGGCAACTGGGTTAAGTATGTTGGAAGAACGGTCACTAAATATTTTCTGGCTTGTCTCTTACTAGTATAAGGTTTCTAAACATTATTCACTTAGTAGTGAAGTGCTGTCAGTGTTTCATATCTGAGTAACACTTAATGGTTTTTACTATTTTAAGATGAATTCTTAGTTGCCCTTAAGTATGGTTTTAGGGCATCTGTTGCATCTATGCAGTACCATAGCATTTTATTCCAACTATACATAATGTTTATTTTATTCAATTTAGGCAGTGCCAGACTCCAGGTCAACTCTGCATGGCTCACAACATAAGAACAGAATGAAAAGTACAATAGAAAATAGAAAAAAATAGAGCACTAGATGATGAATCCAGCCACCACCACCAAAACACATACAAACATATCCAACAAGGGCCCAAACCACCCTAGCCTAGGGCCTGGGAAGACAGCCAGGTCTTCAAGGCCTTCTGGAACAGCATCAGGATGGGAGCCCTGTAGACCTCGGGGGAACCTCATTCCAGAAGGCCAGTGCCACAACGGAGAAGACACATTTTCTAGGTCCCAATACTGGACACCGTTTGATCAAACGGACCTGGAGCATCCCAACCTGATTGGCTCAAATCAGCCAGGCAGACACCATGGAAAAATAATCAGTCCCTCAAGTAACCAGGTCCTATGCCATGTAGGGCTTTATAGGTCATAACCAGCACACTGAATCACACTTGGAAGCATACTGGTAACCAGTGCAGCTTGTGAAACAGGGGTGCCACATGGGCATACCAAGGCATGCCCAACACTGCCTGCACTGCTGCATTCCGGACCAGCTGAAGCTTCTGAATGGTCTTCTGGGCAACCCCATGAAAATGCACTGCAGTAGTTGACCTATTCAGGCCTTACATAGCAATGAATGCAGAGGAGTTCCTTCAGCAATCACAGGTAATCCTTGAAGGCTCCTGTGAATGCTAAGTATGGTAAGGAAGAAGGCTATCTAAAAGGTCTTAGGCATGTAGCCAAGTTCCAACTGCTGTCTTTTCAGATTCTGGTACAACTTTTTCACTCCCCATTAATGGAAGACATAGCCCTACTTTTGCATACTCATGGGAACACAACAGAGAAAGCAGATAAATAAGAAATAAATACCACCCTGAAACCACCCACAACCATGCAGGTTTTCATTGCCAATGCCCTCCTTTGTTCTCCCCCATTTCTTCTCAGCAGACCCTTCATTACTTCCTCCTCCTCATTACTTAATGTTCCCAATTGTATCTCCCCTCTCTAAACCTCAGGATGAGGTGGCAGAGTTGATGACCCAGGTCCAAGTCCACATTCAGCCATGGAAGCTCATTTTAAGCCCATCACAATCCCTCAAGATCAACATTATGGAGATAAGACTGGAAAAGGGTAATACAGTAAGCGTATGGTGTACAAAATTAGACAAAGGGAGGAAAAGTGGAATATGAAACTAATGAATCTAATGAATCAACAGATCAATAAAGCAGGCCAATATACAAAGCTTTCACTGGAGATGGCTTTAATGCTGGGAGAAGTGGAAGGAAAGAGAAGAGGACAACCAGCAGCAAGGAGGATGGACTCAGTTACAGTAGCAATGGGGGCGCCATTGAAAAACCTGAAGGACTAGGTTAGGGACAGATCATCGTGGGGAAAATCTATCTATGTGGTCAGTAAAAGTCAACAATGACTTGAAGGCATGTAACCAATCGATCAATCATCACTCACTTTCTCTATTTGGCTTAAGAGTTCCCAAAAGATAAAAACACTTTTCACTGTGCAGTACACAGGCCCTACAGTCTCCCGGGAGAGCTGTCATAAATGCAATGGAGCCTGGAATGAGTGTCAAATAGTATGTGGGATGCAACGTGTTTTGTGAGTAAGGCAGAGGTCACAGCAGTGGGATAAAATGCTTGTGCAGATCCTACCAAAGGCAAGGCAACGTAATGGTTAAAATCACAAGGCAGCCTATAGCCAGAGGTGTGAACAATATAGTAGGGAAAGACTTTGAGCTTAAGCAAGTGATCAGCAGAGGTTATCCAGAGGAGAGCCATTCATGCTGGTGGATGCAAAATAATAGTATGGTCTGCCCAGCATAGCACAAAGCCACCTTCATTTATTTTCCCCTTTCATCATGCCCTAGTTGGTTTTTTGACATGCCAGAAGAAATGGAAATGTAGGCAACAGTAGCTCTGAGCAAACGAAAAAGAGAAAAAAAAGCTAAAATGTAAATGAAATTATTTCTTGTACAGTCCCACAGAACAGTCCGGCAGGTGAAATGGGTGAATCACCAGTATTGATTCATTTATGAGTTGTGCTCTGGATAATGTACACAGTATTTGGCTCACGCTACAGCATAACTGAATCACAAATGGCTTTGATGATGTATTTTGTGGAATGGTGCCACCAGATCACAGCCCTGATGAAGCAGTGAGTTTCCTGTGTGCACGCGTGCGCACACACACACACTGAATGACCAGGCGCTGTGCTCCTAGAGGGATTCCACATAGAAGGCTCCCAGTGCAATCAATCAAATGGCACCACGTGTAGCAATTACAACCTCCCTTCCTCTACAAATTTTCTTTGGTAATTAAAAGTAAGCAGCAGTGGGAAAACACTAGAAGGTTCCAAAGGAAAGATGCATCATTTGGACTCTAAAAGTTCAGGTAAGGAAATTGCAGAATAATAATCTCCTCTGGAAGTTCCCCAAGATGCATACGGCCAATTCTTCACTACATTAGGAACAAATGCCAACAGGAAATTTAATTCCTTAATGTTTTATTTACAGAACCCTTCCATAAGAATACAGTTACCGTTGACAAATGACTCATGTCTATAACAATGCCAATTATTACTGCCAGTTAAAATATCATGCTAGTGCCACTGTTGGAAGTCTCCATTCCCTTTCAGAACTCACAAGAAAATGGGCAGAACTGCCATATAACTACTTCCATGTGGACATTAGGGTAAAAAAAAGTGTTTTTATTATATCCCATGCTATAATTTATTCTCCCACTAGAGTTAGCTCCTATGAGAAGAACCACCATATATTCCACAAGGTCTAACCACCTTCATTCAGATCTCTTACATCCTTCTCCTTTCTCTAAGTTGAAACTGTGGTTGAGACTGTCCATGTGTTGTGAGATTA